ACTCAGCCATTGAACCATATCTTCAGCCAGCTCCATCTAGCTCATAGTTTCATAGCGTATTTCTCTAAAATCCATTTTCACTCCTATTATTAGCTCGATAGGATAATTGGGGAGCTATTTGAAGGAAATAGCGGCTCAGGTCTAGAAAACTGAAATTAACGGCCGTGGGGATCCGTTGTGATGACCACGCGACACCCTCTATCCGCAAAAGTTGGCACTAATTTCGCCGACAAGCGGCGGTCGCTCTGTCAGTATAGTTCGCTTGCGGACTAAAACCACGGAGTTTATTTGTTTTTTGTTTGTTTTATGAACTCGATAATTCTCGAGTCTGAATACGTGCCAGAAAATCAGATATCCTGTCTGAAGTGTTTCATCCTACTCTCAGCCCCTTCATACATATTCAGGTACAGCATTTTGAAGTACTTAATGACCGCTTCCTGCCAAATCCATTTCAACATTCATAGTTATCCTCCCATTTTGTGACACAGGAGAGAATCAGCTAATTTCATGATACTAGGAATATATGAGGTAAGGATAGGGGTAATTTTTAATATTTAAAGTAACACCATCCACAAAGCGGACTCTGTAGTCTAGGGGTAACGTTCCCACATCATGACTCAAGGTATGCGGGTTCAAACCCGGCGGAGGTCGTGGAATTTTTAAGGGCGGAAAAGTTCAGGGAACAAGTCTTCCGGGAGGGACTTTGAGCCGTGGGTCCCGTGTCGTAGCTTTACGGCACGTAAAAGAACCTCATGCCTCAAGGAGGCCTCTGAGCCAAATTATAAGGACATTTCCCGCCCAACAATAGTCTCTAACGCCTCTGGTAGATGGGGGAAGCATCTAGATACCGCTGAGCCAGTAGAGGCCGAACTCGCTGGCTGAGTCGGGACTGATGGCACGCACCAGTATCGGTAGGGTATAGAGACTGGTAGAATCTCACAGGGGGACGTACAACAGACCACTGGTCANACACAGGAGAGAATCAGCTCATTTCATGATACTAAGAATATATGAGGTAAGGATAGGGATAATTTTTAATATTTAAAGTAACACCATCCACAGCTTCAAACACTGTTGATATTGTCGTATCAAAGAAACAGTCAAGCTAAAATGTCTTTAAATTCTGTGTCCAGTCATGCATAACAATTATAAGTGAGTAAAACTGAATTTTAATGTAAATAACCACCAAAGCAGCTTCAAAGGTAACGTTGATTATTAAAAAATCATTAAAATATTCGGTAACATGGATCTTCTCAGGTTGTAACTACAGCACCGAAACATATATTAAATTGTCTCTATTCTTTACTTTATTGAAATACGGATCCATTTCTTCAACACCTTTACACTGTTTTCTTATACTAAAGTTCTTGCCTTATGGTGTAAACTATCTCAGATGTGAGGTATAATCTACAGTAGTTTAATACTAATTTGTGAAATAGTCCAGACAACTAGCTCCAGGACAAGAATTCTTCATACATTAAGACGATAAGGTCTCTTAAACAACATTACCACATGACCTCACAACCCGATAGGGCTGGAACACACACAGCGACATCGGTCGTACGACGTCCATACGTTTCATGTCGCATCAGGTAGTAGAACATACAGTGTAGTCTTACCTTATATACATGACATGCGACATCTACCTTACGACAGCCGGAGAGCAAAGAAATGTATTTGGTCGCTCTAGTGTGAAAAGGAGGTCGTACGGCAAAAGAATCGAACATTTTTCCGTACGACTGATGTCGCTCTGTGTGTTCCAGCCCATAAAATGACAGACAACATTCTCATGAGAAGATACATAATCTCCTAAGAACTGAACTAGAAAGACCATCGTACCTGAGAAGCAGTATACGAGGTGTACCAGAAAGTTGCTGGACTGTTGTAACTGCCTCGCTGAAAGAAGATGAGGGAACGCCAAAGTCACACTTCCGAAAGCCTATTGCATCAGTCTGCCACATGACACTGCGCCATGAACAAACATTGTTTTTACATGGTATCAGTGCAATTTGTCGGCCCGTTTACCCTTCAACTCCTTGTTTCATGAAGGGTTGTCCTTGGTATCTCGCTCAAGGCATTAATTTGAGGAGTCTATCAGCCTACATTTTCTTAATAGACCAAATCTATTTTCTTTCCATAATATATTATTTCGGCCAGTCTATGCCTGTCTACCTGCATGCAACAGTTCGAGAAGGTCTGAGATCAGGTTCATTAAATTAAAAACTGGGCAGCCTATTCCTACTAAAATCTGTTTTTGTAAAAACCTGACTATATTCCGTGCATGAGAACTGGACCTCATACTCCAGGTTTCAGTATGGATAGCGATAGGAACTTCTGGCTTTATATATAGATGACAAACCGCCACCACTTATAGATGCTATGTTCTACTCAGTCACATTACGCGAACAGGAGTAATACCTAAGATATCAAAAATGTATTTGTTTCTCTACTTGTCATTCGCAGTTTCTTCTGTGTCAGGTTCAGAAAAATTCGGTTTCAGTATAATCTGTTGCCCCATGTCTGTCAAGTGGGGCAGGGAACATGTCGGTGTTCCTTAGCAATCCAACATACGCTGTAAACATATTCAGCATATAGGTACATCTTAATTAAATTCCTCTGTTCACTCGTGTTCATGTTCTGCTTCCCTACTAGTCGTTGTTACAGCTCCTATTACACACATCTTCCTCCAAACTGACATAAAATTATCGTCCTAAACGATATTACATAGTTGCCATCGGTTTATAAAAGAATAAAAAAACTGGCTTCTTTCTCTCGGTTCCTATTCTAAATCTGGAACATTCAAATATTAATGAAAGATACTGAAACATAATATGGCTGTATCAGATCACATGCACCCAGGGCGAAACACAGACTATCTGCCTCACTTATCTCTCTCCCATTTTTCAGTCAACATTGTTCAGGCTCTAAGGCTTTTATTTCGAACGTCTGGAGATGGATGTGGTATTCCCTCACCGTTTGCTACCGTGAACTGCCGGTTATACAGCCCACCTCCAGTAATGTCAGAAACACAATGCGTCATTCCATGTTAGAGCAATAATGTAGCCTTGCCTGTATTGTTTCTAGGCCGAAGTAAACTTATTCTGAGTGACTGATCAAACCGAAACGTTTAAAAACTTGTATGCTTATTCAAATTGGAAGATATAATTGGACAGCAGTAACAGGTATTTCCCATACAGACCTATATACGTTTCTGGAACATAACTAATGCTAAATACTTATTCAAGGTGAATGTTTTCCGAACCACCGTTGTAGAGAATTGTGAAACCACATTTTACACATATACCCAATGCACCTCCTCCGTAAGTCTTGGAGTTTTAACATAATAAAAACAATAATGTAAGAGTATGCAGTATATATTTGCCAGGTAAGTTCTGCTAAACCAGTAATGACTACAATATCCTCTTTCCTTATAATAACCGTTACATTCACATGCAACTATTCACTGTCAGGTGTTACATTCAAACTGGCCAGAAGTTTACAACTGTGTATATAGGCCTACTGAATTAATAAACAATAATTATTAATATCTAAGGCTGAGGTTTTCACAGCAGTGACTACGAAGAATGCCATCTTCTGGGACGTGGGGCCACGTAGATCTGCAGCCACTTGCTCACGCTGGTTCTTCGCTCATGGATTTTTCTACCCTGAAGATGGAGGTGATACATTCTTCCAGAAAGTCGGTCCACACAAGATCTACATGACACCACATCCCAGAAGATGGCATTCTTAATATTAATATATATTGCTTCAATGTTTACAGTTATTACATACTATAAACGAAAATTTAATATGTATATAAATTTCTTGTAATAGAGCATTATATCAAAAGAGTAAAACAAATGTCATCTGATCACAGTTTTAACTGAATAAATAGAGTTTTGTTCCTTTTTATAACTACAATTGTGTTCAGGAGGTCATGACTGTTAAATACCTAAGTTTCAAGAAATTCTCATAAATTACACTTCTGTTCATTTATCATGAAAACTGCAAGGAGAAAATGTCCTGAATATAAACTGTGTTTCACCTTCTGCACAACCATTATTCGAAAATATTATCTCTGAAAAGGGCTGAGAACACATTTTTATAATCATTCTATCGAAATCAAGTGAAAAGCACAACTATGAAACTTCTCATCATGTCACAATCTCCACCTTCCAGTTACTTCAAATTTTTTTGGTCCTAACATTTTCATCGGTGAGTTTGTCTGAAACATCACAATCTGTGTCCTTCCCTTAGAAGCCATAAAAATAACGCGCAAACAGACAGCAAGACTATGAGTGAACCTAGCTGATATAAATTAGTTTCACTGATACACTACCTTATTTCTGTTAGCTATGCCTATGCATACTCCAGCAACAACTGTCAGAATAAACTTACTAGCCACATTTACACTTGATGCATTGAAAGTACATGTCTTGTAATTGCTGAGATCAACTATTCTCTTCAAAGGGCCTATATTCATGATCATAGCGCATCACTTCCATTTAGATATGTGGAACAAATATTCAATCATTTAATGAACTATTAATTTTTGAAAGAGTTAAATCTTGAAACGAAAATTTGTCACGAGATGAAAGAAAGTCTGTACAATTTGGCAAATAATATGAACCTGCTCCTTCACTTTATATATGCACTGAATTTATGAAATGTGTTCCAAACTTCAAAATGCACTTAACTTTGTAAGATTCAATATTTATGTGCATGGACTTGTATTGACTTTGTAATATTCCTGGTTAAAATGTGAAGAAAACCCATGTATAAATACTATCAGTTCTTCATAAGGTTTTCAAATTTGTATAGACAGTGCTTAGGAAGCACACTGTCACAGCCATATTCACTACTGCTCCAATTAGAGTCTAAGAATTCTAGAATGGACCAACCCCCCTTTACATGCAAATTAAAATGGAATTAGGAAGCCTAAGAAATCTCAGGATGAGACAACCAATGGAATCTTTGGGAAAACACCCTACAGAGTTTGTATGTAGCTTACCTTGCAATTGAGAATGTATCTTCATACAAAATACTAATATTCAAAGACGCTATATTCTGGACACTTCTGCTTCCACAAGATGTTTGGAGATACTATGCTGGCTCTTGCTATGCTTCATCTCATTTTTCACTTTGAGAACCTTGTAGTTTGTATTCACTGACAACTGTCCTTTATTTGCTGAAAATCCTATTAAAATACAAGTATCAGTGCATTAATATTCAGGGGAAAGGCAAATAGTAGTAAGAATAATTAAGAGCTGTTCCAAATACTGAATTGTTGACTATCTCTTAAAAATTTTGACATGACTATGAATCCTTGAATTTAACTGTGTGGCATGTCAGTTCTGGTAATCTAGCTGGCCTAGAGATGTGCTGTGGTAAGCTCCCTAAATTGCTTACCTCCTAGCTACTATGGAGCAAAAGGTTCATCATTTCAAAAAGCGACCATTGGCCATTATTCTAAGCCAAATTAAACCAATCAATGTAATATGAATATATAACATGCATATGTTGATATTATTGCACCAACTGGTTTTTTATATTGTTTCTCTAAATTCACACAAAGTCAGTCATGGTAGCTCAGCGGTCTAAGGCATGTACTGGAAACCGGGATCGTGGGTTTGAATCCCACTCAGGGCAGGGATGTTTAGTTTGTGTGTGTGCGTTTTTCTGTGTTTGTGTACAGGTAGAGGCCTTGCGATGAGCTGATCACCCGCCCAAGGAGTCCTACCGAATGTGTAAGATCTAGAAAAATGGAAGAGAATGGAGAAGTTCATGGAGGTAGGCCTAGGCCCACTGGGGCTGTAGTGCCAAGGGAGGAAAAAAAATTCACACATAAAATCTTGAAAATTACTTACTAATGACATCCCCTTTACTGTGTAATGAGAGTCCCTTAAGAAATAATTTAATTATATTGTAACGTGTTGCGTTACTGAAGACGCCGTAGAGATGGTTAATTGGTTTATTTAACAACCTACAAATCACGGCTACAATTACTTATCACACAGTTGCGGGGTTTCACACTTTATAACCCTAATCGCATTAATCTGTTTACATTGTTGCGGGGTTTCACGATTTATAACCCTATGCGCAAATCAGTTCACTCTATCTTCAGTAGGCTACACGTATTCACAGTACGGGAGCTATACAAGTCTCTCTGTCTCACACACTCCCAATTACACAGTTACACACACGTCCGGTTCTTCTTTCCGTGACGGCTGCTATATTCCAACTGTACTCGCAGGCTGCTGCCTTGAGAACTCTTGATAACACACTGGCTCGACTACTACTGAACTCAGCGACTGCTGCTATATGTCAACTCGACTCAGAGACCGCTACATTACAACTAACTTCGCAGGCAGCGCAGCTCTCTTATATAGGGGCTGTGTGGGCCTGTTACGTAGCCACGCTGTTACCTCACGCCGTCTTA